TTTACAGAATCTACATAAAAATTACGAACTATACGATAGGGCATTTTGTCTGTAAATTTAATTTAAAGTATATTTACTTATTATTACAAACTCTGTAAACTTATCGCCGTTTCAAGTGCTACAGACACCCTGTTATGTCTTTTATAGCAATACTCGATGTTTATCAACAAACTCATTCTTATGTTATGTGCCAACCATGATCACAATGGCTTTTCACAAGTCGCTTTGTTCTAGAGTGCACGCCAAAAAAGCGTGAAACAATTGCCCTATTTCATTATGACGTCACAGTATGTTTACATCGGAAAACGATGCTCAAAAACAGTGGAAATTTGGACCCATTTATATTGTCTACTAAAGTAGAACTTCAATGAATCGTGTTTTGATATATATCATGTATAAATGATTGTTCATGTACATTTTATTTGATATGCAGTCACTCTGATCCCTTCTGGCGACCATAATCCTTAGCGTTAAGACAATAGAATGTTTTGATGTGACGTCATAATGAACTAGGGAAATTCTTAACAATGAATAACTAATAGGATTTAGTTATCAACGAACTAAGAATTCACTGGGCCATGAATACAATGCCAAAAAGGAAATTGTCTTTGTTTTTGCCTCACTAAATTCTTAGTTGATAACTAAATCTTATTAGGTGCTAATTTAAGGATTGTTTCACACTTATGTGGCGTGCACTCTAACAGCCAATCGTCTCTTCTGATTGGCACATGAAAAACAAAGGCTTACGTCACATTGAGTATCGCTATATATCCCCACTACAAAAAAGACTATGTAAACTCGTCATCAAGCCCTATCGTGTGAATTATGCAGCGCTAAAGTGTTGACTAATAGAAATATATAATTCAACAAAAAATTTTCATCCACTCCACTGGAAAAAATCGCGCACTTTAAAAGGTTGTAAATTTGATGTAAGTGTTCAAAATGATTTACATCAAGTTTACATCATTTTGAACACTAACATATTTACATCAAATTTCAAATGATTTACATCAAGTTTACATCATTTTTGGACACTAACATCATGTTTAAATCAAATTTACAACCTTACAAAGTGCGCGATTTTTCCCAGTGATCTTATTGGTGGAAGTTCGAACACATAGTGCTCGCCTCGCCGATACAGAAAATGCATAGAGGCGCCGCTTCGGATCATCTTGTCGTTCAATAATATAAACCAATAGAACAGTTTAAATCTCGGGCATTATACTGTGAAAGTTGACTTTGGAAAGTAGATGTTCCTTATCGGACGACTATTTGTTTTTTTTTTGGAACATGCAATAGTCTCCTTCACGGTTAGCTGCGCCATCTTGAAAGGTAGCCGTGCCTTTGCATCGAAGCGAGACAACCGTTGAGTGTGCAATGATAGAAACCTTCTTTCACACCTACAGACAATTATTCACAGGTTTCTATCATTGCACGCTCAACGGTTGTCTCGCTTCGATGTAAAGGCACGGCTACCTTTCAAGATGGCGCAGCTAACCGTGAAGGAGACTATTTGGTTGGGGGCAACTATCAGCGTAATGCCCTCGATTCAACTACTGTATTGGTTAAAGACAATACTACATCTAACTCCCAGGGTTCGCTCTACTCCTTGAAATCCTTGAAAAGTCCTGTAATTGAAAACTCGTTTTCAAGGGCGCTTGAAAATGGGAAAAATCGCTAAAACTCTTGGAAAACTCCTTGAACCTGATGATGTTAACATGTTGATTTTTGCCGTTTGGATTGAAATGTGGCTATTTTTGAAAATCGCCATTGGAAACATTTGCAAACATCAAAAAAGATCTTCAAAAATAGTCCTTGACAATCGCATTTTTGTGCTTTTAATTGAAAAGTGCTGAAATTTTGTAGTGAAATAGCCGAGCCTTTACCTCAAAGCGAGACAGAAGGTGAGCCCTGCAGTGCTAAATACCTATTGTTCACACCTAAGTTAATTATTCACAACGTATCTATCATGGGAAGCTTAACAGCCATCTCGCCTTCGTACATGTACGTATTGTTAGACAATAGAGCTTTTCTGAAATAGAACATCATGGTGCATTGTGGTGTAGATTCAGGACAAACAACGCCATATTTGGCAGCACGAAAAAAAGATGTTTGTACCGAATTTAGACCACAATGCAATGCACACTGATGTATCAGAAAAGGTCTATGGCAACCAAATAGGGCTTTTCTGAAATAGCAGTAACATTGCGGACGCTACTGTGAAGACCCTGGCAAAACCTAATTATCACGTGATCAAATACTGCAAGATTCAAGGAGAATTTGATCACGTGTTTAGCTATTCAAAAATACGTTCGCAATGTAAACTCAGCGTTTTTAATGGCGCTAGCTGTGGTTGGTCGATATTTTGTTTTGCAATCTAAATACCGGTTATACAAATCGGGTCGAACAAACACCGATTGATAGCCGAACATAGCTTAAAAAAGGCAACGGTAACCGGTATAAGAATGGCGTCTTAATCAGCCAATCACAAAGCGCCTTAGTTCAGTGTTTGCCGGGGTCTTCTCTGTAGCGTCCGGCAGTTTGAAAATAGCTACAGAGAGGGCACTGGGAAAGAGGTTGACTGCGAAGTAGTTAAAGGGACACTGTCAATGGATGACATGCGCGAGTAAACTTTATGACTCCAAGTTAGCGCGACATAAATCAGATCGTAAACGTAAACAGATCTAGAATATTCCAAAGTGGGTCAAAAGCACCACAAAATGATTTACCTCGAAGGTTATACTTTCAAAGTCCGTTAGAGGTGAGACTGTTACTGCGCATGTCATCCATTGACAGTGTCCCTTTAAGCAAATATGGTTGTTTTGTTCTGACTCTAGTCTACTCTCTGTTTACTAAGGACCGTTATAATATAACTATAACAATAATAATAATAATAATAATATGTGGTCTTATATAGCGCATTATCACACTGTTTCAATGCGCTTTCACAACGAAGTAATGGTCGGACCGCTATTTAAGGCGCACAGCAGCCACGCAGCTTACAATCATAAGTGTGAGTTAGTTCAAGTAAGTAAGTCACTGAGGGTGGTCACTGCCAGAGACTACTATAACAAGACGCTTGTCAGCGTGCAATCGGGGTTCTTTTTAGAGTGGTCACTTGGTTTAAAAATACATATAGAATATTGGCAACGTCTTTCATTTTGAATTATAACTACAATTATATTTTTTGGTGGCGCCACATTTTGTTGTCAGATTGTCAACAATGTAGCTAAAAATTTCTTTCCCAGGAAAAAAACATTCGTACAAGAACAGTTATTTAGAAAACAAACCCCCGTCGGCTCTTTCTGTAGTTTCATTTATTGTTGCCGTGACCAAAAATATAATAAATTCTCAGTCCAGTTGATAGCATGATAATTATATAATTTTGACTTGATAAATTTACCACAATTATTTAACACTTACAAATTAGAATAATAAAAACTATAATTAATGGCTTGTGTATCATAACACAATAAGCTTGATAAATTCGCGGTTTCAAAAAGCCCATTCCGAAAACGCTCGACATCTTTTAGTGTGGCTATACCGCGAATTGTTTGTGGATTTGTAAGTGATTTGATCGTATTTTTTGAAGAAGAAGCAATACCATAAGTCGATCGACCAAGAGGCTAGCTAATGCAATAAGCACATTGGCACATGGCCAGTAGGATTCCCATGACGTGTGGGACGAGACAAGACGGGCKAGGAACGCCTAGCATAAATCCAAAATAAAAATTTCAAAAAATAAGCAACCTGAACTCACATATTCAAGATTATATCAATGTAAACARAACCTGAAAAGTTTARGKCAAACRCCTTTTTACATTTCGAGATATTGGCATTTCAAAACTACAAAATCTATAGAAAACATTCAGTGGTTGACAAAATAATGCCAACCACGGTCATTTCTTTAGAAAATCTTGCAAATTCACTTGATATCTCTTGAAATATTTAACCAATTGCCTTCAAATGTGCAGGAATTGTTAACAGGTATGAGTTCTTTTCATTTATGGGCTTGATTTTCTTGTATCATGATATTCGATTTCTGACTTTTATGCAAATTAGCTCAAACGTAAACATTGGTGGTCCACCTATTGTTCTAGTGGACATCTTTGTTTTATTGCCTGTCTCTCTGTGTCATTTCATCAAATCAGAATCTATATTCCAGAAGTAGTGAACAACTCGAGTTTGTGGTCGAGCCTTTGCTCTCGGTTTCAACTAGACTCGAAGGGGTTGATGGGAATGAGAATCTTTTTAAAAAATTCTTAAAAGAATCTCGCTTTTTCTCTTCGTGCAACACATCAGGGTTGCTTGAAAGCCGGGATAATCATCTTAATCATGAGTCTGGAGAGAATCCACAATAAATAAGGTTATGATATGCGAACTAGTAAAATATGGCACCAATATTAATTTGCATGTACAATATGGCAGATGATTTTCTGCTTTTTCACATCTATCTACAAATTGGTCTTGTTTTGTCATTGGCCAGTTTTTGAAGCAAGCATAGTTAGGGAAACAATGCGCGAAATGAACCATTTCCTGGGACGTGACATCTTATGTGAGGCCATTTTTTGAAATTTTTTTTTTCGTATATATATTTTTTTCAGTATTCTGTAAGGATGAAAATGAAAAAATCTTTGGACTTCTGTGGACAGCCCGGAACCAACGCTTGCCGTTTAGCTTATGACTTTCTTCGTTTTCTGAGCAATTTGTTGCTCTAATTCTTAACCAATTTGAAATATAAAACGTAATAAAAAACAGTTTTCGTTAAGTAGGCTTTATTTAATTATTTTTTCAGAATAAAATGGTCATTTGAAACATTACGTAATATTCAATTTGAGAAATTTATGACGGAAATGCAGAACCTACAAGTTCCGTACCTATCCAATCAACTTGCAGGAAATGACGTCATAGTGTTAATTATGCACACCTTTACGTTGCTCGATCAAATAGTGGTAAAATATGTTTTTAACTGCCTTTCAGACTGAATGTTATCCGTCCGTTCTTCTCCTTTCTTTTTATCTCACAATCGAAACCGTTTGAAAGTGCAAGTTCGGAAAACGACATTTCCAAGGTAAGACTGTATCAGTTGTAGAAAAATATTTCTCTAAATCATTGCATTTACCTCGCTCATTTGATACTTGGATTACTGACTTTTTAACAAAACGCAGTTTGCTCGAGTCTTTGTCAGTATATATATGATATATTTTAAGTTATTTTTTGAGTATTTTTTTGAGTGTTTTCAAACGATCTCGTTCTTATGGAATAATTTTTTTTTAAAAATGCCAGATCAACGGACATTTCTTATATTACTTTGAGATCACAAACATTATTATTATTTTTTAATCTTTATTCATTTATCTGTTGTTGTTGTTGTTGTTTTTTTTTTTTTTTGCTTTTCCTTAAATTCTTTTTTTGATAAAAATAATGCAGTATTTTATAGTACAATCGGTGTTGGCCATGCATACATTGTGACCATAAATTCAATGTAAAAGCCAGTGTAATTTGATGTTCGTTATCACAAATGAATAGAGAATATTACATAGAATATTATAGGTAAATTCATTGGGTGACGAGTGAATTCAACGCGGAATTCACGAGTCATCCAATGAATTTACCTTGAATCTCATGCCTCAATTTTAAAGGAGAAAAAAATTATAAAAACAATAACAAAAAAAGGTTAGAAATGAGCGTGCGTTTGCAAAATTGAAGCGATCGCTCGTGAGTTCAGTGCGAGAATTTCATTTTCAGTTTTTTTGTTTGTTTTTTTCATTTTAGCTAAAGAAATATTACTTTTTAATAACTAAAACAAACAAATTTTTAGCACTCGAATGGCTTTTCAGTATTTTTACTGACAAGCTCAAACCGGTTTTTCAGAGCGAGTTTGCAACGATCATCGGCGGACGGCAAACTTGCAGACAGACCAGGGCCACAAATCCTAAGATTTCTACACTTTTCCATTCTTATCTCGATTAGAAATATCATCTATGAAGAAAAGACTTCGAAAGGTTGWTACTGAAAAATTGAAAACAAGTTTAAAGTCATATTTTGAGTCTTATTTGGACGAACGAAACTCGTCGAAGTCAGTAGTAGCCCTGACTTGCCAAGCAGACTTCAAAACCTACTTCATGTTTACTTGTGAAAGAAAGCGTACTAGTAGTAGACATTCTCAATCAAAAAGTAGCTGAAAAACTCAAACACAGAAACATTTCATAAATTCATCCCATAACTTGTTCTGGCATGGAATATTCAAGAAAAAATGACAAGCGAAACAGTTTAAGTTTTCTGCAAGAAACGGCGTGCAAGAAACGGCGAAGGCCGCTCAATTTTTGTTTACGTAGATGAACTGATCTTGACAAACTTTAAAATGTATTGCACTACCATGCAGGTATTTAATAAATAGTATTTTAATAATTAATTGTGACGTTATATTTATGAGTTTTGGGGTATTTTTTCGTTTGAAAACGTTGCTTTTATCGAGTTAAACTTAACTAACTTAAATGTGTTTTTGTTTTTGCTACTTAAGCTTAACTTAATTTGCAAAAAATAAAAATATTTTGCTTCTTGAAATCTAGATAAAGTGAATAGACAAGTTGTTGGGAACTAAAACAATTAGATAATAACTTTTGCCAGGGTTTTACACGGATTTTGTGAGTAAATTGTTGAAATAACGCAAGTGTTTTTAAGGTAGCTTATCGGGGCGTTGAATTCAGGTTTCTCAGCGTTGAATTCAGGTTTCTCRYMRTTGAATTCMACTTGAAATACCCTCTCATCCGGTTGACGTGTTGACCAATCAACGCACGACTTTAAAATTGAGGTATGAGATTCTACGTAATATTTTGTTCATCATATAGGAGTACAAATACCACACAGCAATGGTGGAAATCGCCGGTCTCCTAAACAACCTATCTAAATAATTCAAATATAGCTTTCTTTCTCTCCCAGTTAAGGTTGCTTGAGAAAAATAGTTGATATTTGAACGATTTGATAGTACGGGTCCTACCCGGGGATCCTTATCAAGACTCCGAACGTGAAATTTTGTTCCAAGTCTAAAACATCGAAACTCCGGTCTTTGTCATTGACATAAGTGCAATTCACAGTTAATATAACGGTTTGCAAAGGTTGACATACCAATCAGAGCTTAGACCCAAAAGGATTTTCGGTACTCAAATGAATTGAATTATTCGAGCAATTTGGTCCATCAATGAGCCAGTATTCAAACACCAGTACTCACTAATTGCCAAAACAGTGTTTTGATTTCCTGCACGCGAAACAGGGTCTGAATGGGGTTAACCGACTAGCGACAAATTTGAACAAAATAACAACTGACTAGCGACAGATTACCGACATTAACAAATGTACTGACTGGCGATATTTTCATGAAAATAAATATTTTTAGCTTCTTGAATAAAAGTTTTCTTTTTTCAAGCAAACATTGGTAAGTTTTCCTCTGAAAAATAAATTTTGCTTCTGGTTGACTTCCTGAAGTTTTGATTGGCCATTCTAAAACTTTATGTGGCATCCAATTGAATAATCAAGACTCAGGGATTCAATTGTTTGGCATTTTAGAAAGCATTTTGTTGATATAAAGCACCGTCTTAAATGCATTCAAATCCATGCGACCCAGAAACAAGGAGGCGGCCGGGAACGATAAACATGTTGTTGTTTTTTACTTGGCCTTAATTGTTAATATGTATTGATTCATAGTTTATTGTTTGTCGCATAATAGGTAAATTAACAATTTTATTTCATTGTTCACTGAAAAACGCAATTCTTTACTTGAAAGATTGCCTTAGAGCGGATTTCGTATGAGTGGGAAACGGACGGTACTGTACTGTGACCGTAATCGTACTGTAATCAAATTCTAGTGCCCCMTTGGTTCACMMAAATTGTGCAGGCCAGGTCCGGTAACTGTGCGGTAACCGTGCGGTAACGGTTTCCCACTCATACGAAATCCGCTCTATACCTAACGCTAAACCTTCCCTATTTTGCGATAGCGTCATTTTCATCCGTCTGTGAAATAGGAATTGTACTATTAAATACTATTACCCCCTAAATAAATGAATGAATTCATTTTGTATCACTTGATAATGGAGTCACGATGACCCCGAAACGTCGTGAATTAAATCAGTTAGTAATACGTTTCGTTTCCTTAAATGTTATTAATATCTAATATTTATATGGTTTTTGATCGTCACATTGCAATTATTGCCTTTATCTGCTCTCTTTTTGTCACAGGCAATACAGCAACATGGACGAAGTCGAAAGTCTTTCACCGAATGGCTTCAAAGGAGTGGCTATTTATTCCGGTGTTCTATTCATATTTGGGTGTCTGACACAAACCATCGCTTGCATCATCTTTAGCCGCCGCGACTACCGTAAAAAAGTCATGACGCCATACTTTATTAATATTGCTGTTGGGAACTTTCTATTCTTGTTTGGTAGCTTGCCAACAACATTCGCATCATCGTTGATGCAGGGAAGGCTCTTTTACGAATATCCAGTGGTACGTGTGCAAAAACTAAAATGATAAAAAAATTGTAATTAAACTTCTTGATTGTATTGAATTAGTATAGGAAATAACACCGTTCGAAAAGAATTGATTAAGAAATATAAAACGGCGCGCGTGTCTCTGTCCTCTGATATAAACACGGTGGGAGTTCGAAAAACACGAAAGAAGCAAGCTTAGGAATACGAGCGTAGCGAGTGTTTCTCTTGCTTCTCGAGTATTTTTCAACTCCCACCGACGTGTTCATATCAGAAGACAGAGACACAAGCGGCCGTTTTATATTTCTTTTATAAAATTTTTCGAGCGAAAAGAAACTTTTGCCAGAAAGCCGTGTCTCTGTCCTCTGGTATAAACACGGTCGTCAGCCAATCAGAGCGCGCGTTATATATCAAAAATTCTATAATGAAAAATATCGTCCTTCGCACTCGTGGTATTAGAGAGTTTTAGATACGCGTTTACGGCGAACGCCAAACGTCAATCACTGTTTTTCTATATTAACACTCCATTCTTTCCCGATTGTGTATAAAATGGGTCCCTTTTTCGTGCATAAACGCATCAGTGTTCCTATCGAAGCGTTTTTACGTTTGTTTGAAATTTTGAGGCAAAGTAGAAAAGCCAATTTGACGTTTGGCGTTTGCCCGTAAACACGAATATAAAACTCTCTAATTAATTCTCACTTTCATCAAAAACATTTCATTAATTCTTCGTGAACAAGGTGGTATTTCCTTATAAATATTATATCTACATAAAATATTCGATTCTATCGGCATCTAAGGGCAGTACATGATAGCGAAAACATATCGCACGTAGATCATTCGCATAGACTTCTAGGACAGATTTGTTCAATTAATTAATAGCGTGCGTGGTATTAATTAATTGCACGAATTAAGAAAAGATTCGCAGTTCGTCAGCAAATCAAAATCGAGAATTTTATGTAAGTATGATATTATGGTAATAACTTTTCTGCAAGGAATAATGATCGTCACTGAAAGTGAAATATAATAATCTAAGCGATTATTATGTGTGCAATACTTTCCACTATTTACTACAAAATAGTGTTAATTAAACAATAGAAAACAATAGAATTAGCATAATTTAGCAGTATTTAGTGGTATTTATGTTGCACAGCTTTAGTGTTTGTACTCTATGAATCGCCCGGAAAAATTTCGAGCTTTGAAGGGAATAGAATCCATTTATTTAGTATTTATTTATTTATTTAATATGTTTAATTACAATCCTATCGCAGTGCAATACAAGAGAGAAACACTGCATTACAGGATGAGCGCAACACTGATATAGCAACATTTAACAATTACATTACAAATACTTAACAGACACAAAATCTTTAAGTCTATCAGTTCTCTTGATATTTTTTTTTGTATTTGGAGGTTGTCCTCAACTCGTAAGAATGTCCGGTGCATTTCTCTACAACCTGATCTTTCTAATATATATGTTTTCTTTTCTAGATGTGTAACATTTTTGGATTCATTTCTGGTTGTGGTGCAGTTTCTATGATTGTCACGATGTCTTGTACAACAGTTAAACTATACGCCATATCAAAATCGGGAATTTCAAACGAAAACAGCAGTACCTTACAGACTCCACACTACAAGGTATTGAAATGATTTTTATTTTGCGACGCCATTTTGTGTTGCAAAGCATGGGTGGTAGTTGTAGTCCTCGTCATTTTCCCTGTCCGCTAAAACCGAGGCCTTCTGATTGCTTTTTCTAAGGCAAGATAGATGTTGTTTTGCCGTTTCTACAACGAAAGGCTTATTAGGAACACAAAATTTATGATCTGTAATAAGTGGTGAGGACTACAGGTACCATCATGCTTTGCGTAAAATGGCCTCGCTGCTCATTTTCTATTGACTGTACATGTATTTGAAAATCACCTATATTTGCATAAATTTTCGAGAGTATTGGACAATTTTGATCGAATGCAACCGTTATAGCCATGTTGTAAGGATGACTTACGCAGATTGCAAGCGACAGCTGTAGGCAAAAAATGTGAATTCTAATTTGGTCTTAAAGAATCACAACCAACGCTTTACTTTGCGAGCCAAAGCGGCATTTTTGGTGGACTCGACAATCATACACCTTTACCATAATGGCCGCCATCTAATTAACATAAATTTTAAAATTTAGAATTTTAGTCAAAGTAAACTAACAGCTGATAGGAACCTATGCTAATGACAACATATAAAAGTTTGAAATGAAAATATTAAATTCTGGTGAAGTTATAAGTATTTAAAATATATCATAACACCAGAACGAGGCTATAAAGGCCTTGGCTGAAAATTACATACATTTCTTGTATTTTCATTTGGCCATAACTTTGTTCGCATTTTATCCAGGGCTGTTAAACTTTCCAAAAATGTTTATTTTTGGTAGTTCATTCACATGACAGTGACAAAGTTTTCACATATTTCATATTTAGAAACAAATAGACAGATAGCCATTGGTGGAACAATACATACATTTCTTTGTATTTTTGATTTCACCATAACTTTTTTCCTATTTTGTCCAAAGATCTAAAACGTTTCAAAAACGTTTATTTCTGGTAGTTCTTTGATGTTACAGTGACAAAATATTCATATCTATTTTATTTTGGAAAAACACAATTGCAGCCATTATGTTAAAGGTGTATAGGATTTCTTAAAGTGAGCGCGAGTCGTCTTCCGTCCTTTCAGTTTGTACAGAAATATCTTTAACTAAGTACCTCACAGGTACACTATCAATCTATAATCTATTGTATGCTTGACGCATTTAAACGTATGTAAACAATAACACGGGCACGCGCTGTATTGTGGTTAGTTGGGATTCTTTAAAAGTCTCCGCATTGGAGTCGAAAAATTAGAAAATTTTTCTGCTCCTTGACCTTGACTTAGCCATTTTCATTATATAATTCTCTTTATTATACCTAAGGTTATCACCGCAATATGGGTCTACACTGTGATTCTCATGCTCCCCCCTGCCACAGGAATTACAAATATGAAGACTGAAGGCTCAGGAACTCACTGCGTACCCGACTGGAGTCCAAAGCACCCAAACGAGGCGTATTACGTCATGACTTTATTGATATTCGCATACGTCATCCCGGTGTCTGTGGGAATTATACACCTTATCAGAATCCAGTACCAATTCAATTCACAAGAGTTTTTCAACAGCCCGTTACTTAATCTGTGTTTCTCGACTCTTAAAGGTAAATAATTTTACAATGGTATTGGGACTCCAAACTCACTGAACCCGTGAAAAGTTTAACTATTTAAGTATGATAGGCAAATAGATACAACGGAAAACAATAAGCAATAGCCTTCTTCGAGTTTCCATGCGCCATCTTGAAAGGTAGCCGTGCCTTTGCATCGAAGCGAGACAACCGTTGAGCGTGCAATGGTAGAAACCTGTGAATAGTTGTCTCTAGTTGTGAAAAGTTTCTATCATTGCACGCTCAACAGTCGTCTTGCTTCGATGCAAAGGAAACGGCTAACTTTCAAGATGGCTCAGGGAACCGTGAGGAAGACTATTATAGCGTACTAAGGTGTATTATTGTAATATCTATTTCACGTTTTTTTTGGCTTCTTTCTATCGTTCTAAAAAATGGTGTTTTACTCATCAATTTTGTATCGTTCACACATACATCATTCGAAGTCAAGCACTTCCTAATGTCCCAGTCTCATCATCAACCTTAAAGTGCCTATGACGCCTGACAAAATAATTTCTGATTTTCTGTGAACAGTCATTATTATTGACGTCATTATCATTAGCATATTGGAAGATTAAAACCTTCAAAACTCAAAGACGCAACACTGAAATGCAGAAATATTTCACCATTCAATAGTCTCCTTCACGGTTACCTGCGCCATCTTGAAAGGTAGCCGTGCCTTTACATCGAAGCGAGACGACCGTTGAGCGTGCAATGATAGAAACCTGTGAATAATTGTTTGTAGGTGTGAAAGAAGGTTTCTATCATTGCACGCTCAACGGTCGTCTCGCTTCGATGCAAAGGCACAGCTACCTTTCAAGATGGCGCAGGGAACGGTGAAGAAGACTATTATTTACTTTATATAGAATCAGATCACAGTGAATCAGATTTTTTTTGTCAGGTGTCATAGGTACAAGTATGTTTAAAAAGTTCACTACTTGAGCTGAGATTGTTTTGTTTTTTCAGGAATTCAAAGGATGTCGTCGCTCGCTGTTGCTCTCTTCTTGATAACATGGTTCCCGTATGCTATTCTTGTGGTCATTTCGGTTACTTCTGGCATCAAGGTTTTCTCGATCGAAGTAGAAATGTGGCCGACGCTGTTTGTTAAATTGAGCGCTGTGTTTAATCCATACATCTACGCATTCGTAAACCCAAGGTATCCAGCCTTTTCCAAAGAATCGCTTATTAACATACATTTCCTTTTCAAACCCCCTTCCCCGTCCACCACCCCCTAAAAAATGAGTTCAAAAATACTAAAAGCCATATGTGCATCCAAAAAACCTTTTTCGCAATTTCACACATACAAAGATACAGCATCTATGATTTTAAAACTTTTAACTACAGAAAATGTATGATTCTTTTTGTGGTTTATATGCCCATATCACCTTTCTCTGTGAATTTTACCGCTTTTCAAAATTCATATCTCTGTGAGTTTTCATTCGAACTTACTAGAACCTTGTACAGCTTCTAAGTAAAGCACTAATATAAATGTTAGAGGACATTTTACGTTTCTCAACCCCGTTGATCTATGTATTAGTTTGCCAGGGACATCTGGCAATTACAGTGTGTTCCGAAAAGAAGACTAATCGGTTTCATTCCCAAGTTTTTGAAAAATCATTATTCAATATGATTAGTACTTTATTACAGATTTGAAATTATTAATTTATTATGAACTATAAAGCGCACATTGATTGGCTGAAATGTAAAGAAAAACCCTGTTTCTAAAAGATCAAAGAATCTGGTTTTCCGCTAGTGAAAATATCAACTTTATGAAATGGAGGAATATAGGTATTTAATAGATAATTATATGATAAAAATTGTTAGTTATGCTTGCGAGCGTGCAATTACCGGCTAATATAACACGCTCTTGGACCAATCAGAGCGCTCGTACTATTACTCTACAATCGTTGACAAAATCCTTGGATCATTCCACAGAATGTCCCATTTTAAGCAACACCCGCAGACAATTTTATCCCCCCCCCCTGACCCTCTAAATGTAATGTTGTCATTGAGCATGTTACCATAGTACACAACCCGGCATCCAAAACAAGACCCAACATTGATGAAAGGGGGCTAAGGGGGAAACTGTGAAAAAATAAAGCAGAAAAATTTTACCAAGGTTTTTGGCAGCGATTATATATCACATTATTATATGACTTGGATAGTACGCGCGTTCTGATTGGCTCACGCGAGGGCGATATTTTGCCATCTCTGACCGATTACCATGACAACGGTCCGAAAGTCATATTCCCGAGCGCCCGTTTGTTGACATTTTTCAAGGCGCGAGATTTGATTTTTTTGAACTGAATTTGAGAATAACTATACGAGAAGCAAGCAAAGAAAAATTAAGAATGACGAGGAAGAATATTTTTCAAGCGAATTTTATTATTCTGACGAATTTGAGTTGAGGAAAACATGCATGAAAACGCCACATCCGAAGCGAAGTTCAAACTCCGAGCCAAGGAGTTGTTGTTTTGACAGTTGTTTGTAGAAGGCGAAATCACAATACGAAAAACAAGGTCTAATATAAACATTCTAGTAGTAAAGCGAAGGCGGTTGTACAGAGCGGAAAAGGCAACAAAACACAAGTGACGAAATCTCTAAGCGATGAAGATGAGAAGTCGCTTCGTGACTATGCTAATAAAACCCAGGTTAGAAATTCACAACATCACTTAATGTAACTTCAAGATTTCCAAAGGTCCAGTGACGGTTCAACAAGGGAAAAGGCGTCGAAATGCTATCGCTGAAAGCGACRATGAAGATTGAAAACGATTTGATTGTAGATAAAGTAGATAAAGCTTACTGACTTGTTTGTTTTCGTTGTGCTTTGACTAGATGAAAGACCCACGATTGTTGTTTTTCTACGAAATAAGTATCTTTCGAGACATTTAAATTATTGTTCTTCTGTGACATTGATGGCAATTCATTTTAGAATTGTTTTTATAACAGAAATATTTGTTTTCTGGTGTAAAAAACACACATTTTTGACAATTTGATTCCATGTGCTTTGCTTGCTTCAGTTGGACCAATCGATAGTCCAATCGATATTCGCGCGCTGTTTACAGTTTGCTTTTCCGATGAAGAAAAAAGTCATATAATAAAAGTGTTATTAACCTCGTTTGCTCGGTCTGTACGGAAAAATATCGGACCTCGGTCTCTAATGTACGGACCTCGGCCTACGGAGGCCTCGGTCCGTACTGTCGAGACCTCGGTCCGATATTTTTCTGTACAGACCTCGCTCTCGGTTAATAACCCTTTAATATTTTTAAAATGTTTAGAAAATGTTCAGCGTGTGATTTAGGATCGTTTCGACTGCTCTCCCAATGAATCCCGTGAAAATATATATCTCTGTTAAAATGCTAAAAACTGAACGCCATAAAACAGGCATTTCTTTCGTTTCTCAGAGATTTTTTCGTTATTTCAGATTCCGTCGAGACGCATTGGAACTTCTAAAATGTTTTCTTTGTCGAAAGAAGTCCATAGTTGACAACGTTGAGCAGGATTTCTCTCAAAATGCAACAATTTGTTACGAGAATGAACAAGACCGGGAAGCCACCACGAATGCGAGTGAATCACAAACAAAAGTCCGTCGCATCAGCGTCAAAGAGGCCACATTTATTAGCAGATCATCCCATGTTGAAGAGATCACAATGCAGGTCCACAAATCGTCAGACTTTCAATCTCTCAAAAAAAGTAATGTTGGATCGAATTTGGTTGAGAAATCCAACTGGTTAGAATCGGTGGAAAATCCAGGGCAGGTCATACAATAAACAGAAAAGTCAGTTCCAAAGCAATTGACATCGGTTTTAAGTTAGTGTGCTGTACAGGGCCATGCACTAACCGGCGTACTAATTTGCTTATGTTTTGAAAATTAAAATACATCATTATATACTTTCTCTTTATTATTCCTTTATGCTCTGTTAATGGAGATATTTGTATCTACGTTAAAAAAGCGACGAATGGTAACACATTGAGAATGAATATTTAAAGTCATTTCATAAGTTTTCATATATGAAAAGTACAAAAGATGACCGCATTGAATGCTGGTGGAACATGGCCCTTTTAGCCACTACATAAGAGGCTATCATGTAGAACCTACTTAGATTTGATAGACTAATTTCCAAAATGGACGCCGCAGATTACAGTCAACTCTCGCCTTATATACGGACACCCCGCTACAACGGACACCTCGATATTGTGGACAGTAAGAAAGTAACTCTCGTTAGGGACTGTGCAATAATTACCAGGAGGGGGGGGCGTAAAACCAGATTTCTCAAGCAGAAAATTAGCCAGAACCCCCCTCCGAAGCATAAGAAAATAGCTCTTACGCCCCCCCCCCCCCCTCTGCTATACTAGAAATAACGTCGGGTCCGTAATAGCGAGAGTTGGCTGTATTCTTTTTTTCAAAACGCTCAACTAATGTGAAATTCCGCTGTATAAAATGTGCGATCGGCGATAAGGTATAAATAGAACTTATTATCAATAACTTAACAGTAATACCCCAGCTTAAACCATAGCTTGACACGTTTTTTCTCGCGTTTCAATAGGAAAAGCAGTTAACTATGTTATGTAATCTGTGAATTGTAAAAAAAACCTCACGTGTCATCAGTATGGCCGATCTTATAAACAAATTTAAACAAATTGGCACAAATATAACCCTGTGTGAAACTGGCTTTTTTGTGTCATTTTTATCCAGCCGAAAGGCAAACATTTATTGTAAACATTTTTTTCAGATATACAATATGTGGGCCTACCTCCGGACTTTCGCTAGTTCCGGAGATTTTTGAAAATGTGGTCTTATTTAAGAAATTCCAATTGTTAACCGTTTAGAAGTGTAATGACACAATAATAAAGTTTTGGTGCATTTCCTTGGCAATTGCAGTGGAGTTTAGCTTTCAGCACTTCTGTGAATATTTTTAATGCCGTTAACTGAGGTAAGAGAATATCGTTTTTTTCCTTGTGCTTTCACTTGTGTTCTTTGTTTTAGATTTATATATTTTTAATTATAATTGTATGAGGAAGTAGCTGATCCCATTAAAGAGTGCTCAATACACATAAAGTGTAGAGCTAGTTATATATATGATATCAAAGAAGTATTTAATTAAAATACTGTCTGATGAGTGCGTAGCACGAAACTCGGAGTTACAGCAAAATCTTGCCTCTTTGATATCATATATATTTTTAATTATATATAGATTCACGATTGCATGTTTTACAGCAATCCAACTATCTCAATAACAAGAGAATTACTGATTTCGGGATATAACGAGTCTATTTTTTATATTTTACACTAAAAGCAACATAAAAAAAAACCAGACACAGCTGCCGTTTGTTTGTCTGAAAATATGGAGCCCCCGTGAGGATCAAAAAAATCTTAAAAATACTTTATTTCGCTAGTGGATTTTGACGGTCTTAAAAATGTTTTACAAGGACTTTTCAAAGCCAATGTAGATAAGTTTAATGCCCAACGAGTCGTTCAGTGAAAGTACAAAGAAAACCTGGCACGAGTAAAAAAGCGTACGGATTTTTAAGATAGAAGATATTGCATCGGCTTAGGAAGATACGAATTTTATCTTCGAGTGTTCCATTGCAATGATATCTCAATAGTTAATAACGAAGTGAATTAATTTCTAAAAGCCAGAAAAAAATTAGATAATCCAAGAGATATGAAATAATACGGAGAATGATTTTCAAATGTGGAAGATTTAATTTTTTTCAATAGAAAGATTGGTATTTTATTGAAGTTTATATCATATATTGAAAACATCTTCATCTATTTAAAACCAACGATATCTATTCAGCTTTAGCCGAATAATCCATATGTTTTGAAATGCATGGAAGCCAAACTGCATTTCAGAGGAAGTTTAGCTACCAGATTGTTTAGCAAAAACTGCTGAGAAGGGCTAATTTTTTTCCCATTACCCGAGGTTGGCAGTCATACAAAACAATTGAATAATAAATTCAATTTCCGCTTGAGTTTGAGATCTGTAAATCTATTTGAAAATTCGTGAAGATAATAGAGTTGGTTGGCGGAATCAATGAACCATTTTCTAAGCCATTTCTTTAGAAATTATGGCTAATTACGTTAAGAAGTCCTTTCAATATTTTCTCCAAGTTGAGTGGCGTGCCATTTCAAAAAAGAAGCGTGTCTTCATCACCGCTACTACTTAAGTTACATTAAACTACGATTTATGTAGTATAGCTATCACAGTACGCGCGCGCTCTCTGATTGTAAATTTTGTCAAATTTTGCAGCGCGATTGTCGGGGGACATTCGCCACTTAGAGCGGATTTCGTATGAGTGGGAAACGGATGGTACTGTACTGTGACCGTAATCGTACTGTAACCAAATTCTAGTGCCACATTGGTTGACAAAAATTGTGCAGGCCAGGTCCGGTAACTGTGCGGTAACGGTTTCCCACTCATACGAAATCCGCTCTAGTTCTCGCGCACCTCAGATCGTACGTGTAAGCAGCCCTGCGATTGTCGCGGCGATCGAAAATCGCCACGAGTTGCAGCTAAATTTTCAAGCATGTTCGAAACTCAGGAGACTGTCGAGCGATGATCGCTCCAAAAATCACAAGTGTAAACAAGCCGTTATCGTTTATTTCACCGGAGGTGAACGCACGGATGCGAAAATACTATAATATAAAAGCAATATAATAAACAACAGTGCTGTTTATTGCTTAAATATAAGCAAGCTATAAAATTGCAATTGGTCCATTAGCTGTTTCATTACGTACAAAGTTACAAAGACTGAAACAAAGTCATTTGTGTAGCCAAATTCCCAGGAAAGAGTTATAATATCAACATCAACCTGAGAAAGATTGTACGAAACAGAATGGTAAATACGTATGACTTCTTTTGCAGATGAAGTCAACAAAGTCGGATGTAAATACATCAAATTTACATCATTTTGGACACTTGCATCATACTGAATTACATAAAATTTACAACCTTTTAAAGTGCGCGATCTTTTCCAGTGTTTTGAGCTATTTTGAGCCATTTATCGCTATTGCTATTATTCTCTCTGAGAAGGGAATACTTAATTACTGAATTACTTAAAACGGTAAAAATGCATAGCTCGGGCTACCTGTGCTTCCAAAATGGCTGCCGTATACACTCTTTACCTTTACCAAATAATTTTTTCCGGAAATTTTTGAAAAGGGACTGGTATCGAGGTTAATTGTTTTAGCAAGAATCTGGTCACGAATATCACTGGCTCATGAAACGAGTTTGACGTAGTGTTATGCAAATTAGTCAAGACTATTTTCGAGTATCATTCCTCGTTAATTCAAAACGTTTATTTGTTCTGGTTAATGTGGTCATCATACAGACGTGTAAAGGTAAGCTAGATAAATAAAGAAATATATAGAACTAAAGTATTTGGCCAGAATTAACTTAGCTTTAAGCAATACAAGAATAAATTCCCTATTTGAAAATTAACATTTAAAGATACCAACGTATCAGTTCATAGTTGCTTGGCAATTTTAGATATCGATATTTAAACGTAACTTTCCATTGCTTTAAAATATAGAATCAAAACTTTATTTATTCGCAAAAAAGATTAATTCTAAGTTTGGTTTGAAGTGCTTAAGGGACCTTTTATAGTGTATTTTTAAGTTCTAAATAACCTAGTATTTTGACATCTGCATACGCTGGATTTTAGTGTTTTCTATTTTCAAAGCTGCAGGCGAATTAACTCCGGATTGACATACAGTGACACTTGGCACTTGATTATAATTTTTCTCAAGCTTGTAGACTCATTTTTGAAAAAAATACACTTAGCCATTACTCACCAAGAACTCATATAGTTCTGTGTATTCTATATAAGAAAGGGGCATGGTTCCGTTTACAATAATAAAAACTCTTTGTCTGCAACACTTAATTTTGTGTTTCTCGACATATTAAGTTCAAATTTTAAGTATTTAAACACAATATTAAAGTTTTATTGTAATCATATAATGAACTATAACATATCTATATTTATCATATAATTATCTATGAAATACCCATATTTCTCCATTACGTAAAATTGATATTTTCGCTAGTGAAAATAACACATTCGAGATTTCTCTATATAGTGGAAGAAAGAAAAAAGGTATTTTACAACATTATTTGCTTTCATATTTAATTATATAGTATGATAAACAGAATATTACATGGTCGCTTGGAGATACGAATTTTATCTTCTAGTGTTGAAAATCTCTCACTCGTTCGCTACGCTCACTCGTGATAGATATTTTCAACGCTCGAAGATAAAATCCGTATCTCCACTCGCGCATGTAATATCCTCTAATAATATCTTTCGTTTTATTATTTTATTTTATTTCGTTTTTTATTACTAAACGAGGGATTCGACTCCTGAGTTGAATTATGTTTTAAAGGAAGTAAGCTAAATTATGAGTGATCTAAATTGCTGCCCTTACGATGTTTTTCGAATTGGACAGACGTTAAATTCAATGAAGAATTGAGTCCTGATGTATATAGTCGATTAGCAAAAGGCTGTCGTCAACCGGACTTCGTAGCACGCGAGCAGCGAGAAACAGGTTTCTGGGTAAAAATTAATGAAATGGCACTACAACGCCTTCCAGTATAGTATCAACTTGTTTAGACTTTTATTCTCTTTTTTAAGAACTCGAAGACAAATATTGAACGTTGTTTAATCTTGAGAAATTATCCTTCAGCAGTATGTTTGTAGATGAGTATACGTAATATTAAACGTTGTATTGCCCCCATGTTGGAATACAATATGAGATGCAAAAATCAACATCACATGGATGCATAACTAAATTCCCATGATTTGGAAATTTTTGTCACACATTATGTGCCAGTTCCTCCAATCACAATGGGGTTCAAATTTCTAAATACTCCAATTTCGAGTTCTGGTTTGCTCTGTGTTAGCCTCAAAACCAAGTAACATATTCTTTTGTTTCATTGGTAGCTCGAAAAAACGCATGGAATTTGTGAAGAAAGACAATAAATCTGATTTGAAATCTCACACTTTTACGCTCACAATAAGGAATAATTTGCGCACAAATGAGGCTAACACAGAGCATTGGAGAATTCGAAACTGGAGTATTGCCAGTTCATTGATTTTTACCCAGAAACCAGTTTGGGCTAGTAGCGTTTCGTGAAACCCGGTCGACGACAACCTTTTGTCAATGGACTATACTGTAAAAACCCGCGTATAAGAACCTAGGTTTTTTCAAGTTAGCCTAAACAGGTTCTTATATAAATGGTATTTAATGTAAAATTAGGCTAACTAGGTTCTAATTAGGTTCTTAACTTTTGTTCAAGAAAAAAGGTAAGAATTTTTAAATGATGTGGTCGTTTATGCCTGATAAAAGTATTCTTGGAGGCTTCGGTAAGCAAAATACTACACTACTGTTAAAATCAAATGCTGTAACTACTATAATCAGTGTTAGCGCCATAGCGACAACAGTTGTTTTTTTGTTTGTTTTTCGTCTTTGTTTCGCTAAGTAGTGTTCGCCATTGTGTCAACGTTCGTTTATTTCCTTTGTTCCTTAWATGTTCYATGCAAATTTTGTTCAGTTTAAGCGCTCGTTTTGAATATTTTAATCAGTGTCGTCATATCGTAGTATCGAGTACATCGCACAGTTTGTTTGTAAGTATTTTCATTTTTTCCTTGTCTTTAATATCGTTTTCCATGTTTGTTATTATTTAGGAACCTTGCTTGTTTGTAAGCGTTTCGACAATGTGCTTGTAAATAGATACTTGATCCGTAAGAGTGTAGGTTTTTGACGAGGGTCGAGGGTCGAGGGTAAAAATGCGAGGGTCGAGGGTAAAAGTGCGAGTGTCGAGGGTAAAAGTGTGAGGGCTCTAAAAAAATGCGAGGGTCCATAAAAATGACTCTTTATTTTAAGTTTTTTAAAGTTTTTTAACCCAATAGAATGGACGTCAGTTTTTCCTTGCGATGAATCGCACGTTCCTCGGGTAAAAAAAAGCATTTTAAACATAATTTAAACACATATTATAGCGTATCAAAAACTGATTACTCTCTCTTGCTGTCTTAAGTATCACTTTGTGGACCACATAGACTTATAAAACCTTGAACAGGCCTGGAACTATAGGATCATACATCCGTAGTTATCTAGAAAAACTCAATTAGGGCACTTAGCAACCTTGGACTGGTCAAAATTGAATTGTCTATTGTTATCGAATTATTTTAGCATTTAGCGCAAACAGTATCTTATAGCCAAACTGCTACAGAGTAAACACAAAGTCAGTAGATGAGAAACACTACTATGCTATGGTATTTTAATCATTATTCCATGGCCGAAAAGTTCCAGGAACGCGAACCACTATAAATGCAGTTTAAACTTCTGATGCAAAGCGCCAAGAAGTCAAATACTTTCAAAATCTTTCAAAGTGCTTCTAAAAAGAATGCGAGGGTCCAGAAAAATAACTCTCTGGATATATTTATTTTACGGTTTTTACCGCAATGTTTCGAATGCAAATGTTTCAATGTGAACGTCCGTTTTGTCCGTTTTGAATCGCGCGCGTTGCTCGCGGAATGGTTTAATATATCCATTAATCACATAGTACTCTCTCTTGCTGTCTGAGTATAACTTCTTGGATATTACAAATTGTTCAACCACATAAACTTATAAAAACTCAGTTTAAACTACTGATGCAAAAAGCCAAGAAGTGAAATTCTTGCTTTCAAAGTGCACATACGTAACTAAAATGTGAATCGATCGACGTGTACAAACAATTTGGATCTGTTATTGAGTCTAGCTCACCGTTTTTAATGCGCAGCTTTCCTTGTCGTATAAAGGTGATACTTAAGACAGCAAGAGAGGGTAATCAGTTTTTGATACGCTAATATGTGTTTAAATGGCTTCTTTTTACCCACCCGAGGAACGTGCGATTCATCGCAAGGAAAAACTGACGTCTATTCTATTGGGTTAAAAAACTTTAAAAAAATTAAAATAAAGAGTCATTTTTATGGACCCTCGCATTTTTTTAGAGCCCTCGCACTTTTAYCCTCGACACTCGCACTTTTACCCTCGACACTCGCATTTTTACCCTCGACCCTCGTCAAAAACCTACACTCGATTCGTAAAGTTTATTGGTATGGCGACCTCAATCAGTGTGTACAGACTGTTTTATAATATATTTTTGAGAATATTTTTTTTCTATATTTTGAGATTTTTTCCTTTTTTTCGAAATAAGATCTAGAACCTGTTTTAGAATTTTAGCCTAAAATGGTTCTTATGTGAAGGGTGCTTAAAAATGAAATTTTAGCCTAACAGGTTCTTAAATGTTAGGTTCTTATACGGGGTTTTTTACTGTATACGTTATTGATCTCAATCATCAGACAGATCAATAGATCGCTTAACGTAGGCACAACTTAATGAAATAAGAAAAAAACAAACATTTTAAGTTCTTAAAAAACATGCGTTCCTGGTGAAATAAACCACACGGGATGTCGAAAAAGGCGTAAAAAATCTCGAGCCGGAGGTTTATTTCACCAGGAACGCAAGAAAATGTGTTGTTTATTGCTTTTATATAATAGCATTTTGGCATTCGTGCGTAAATAAAAGTAACATTTGTCCAATCACAGAGCGCGTACTATGGTAGATATATAGAGGATATGACATGGCCGCGCGGAGATACGGATTTTATCTTCGAGTGTTGAAGAGATTTTCAACACGAGAAGATACAATTCCTATCTCCAAGCGGACATGTAATATTCTATTTTTATCATATAATTATCTATGAAATACTGGCCGAAAAAATAGGTAGTACCTATATTTCTCCATTTCGTAAAATTGATATTTTCAGTAGTGAAAAAAACACATTCGAAGTTTCTCTTTATAGTGGAAGTAAGAAAAAAGGTCAAATAAATGGTTGTAGGTCGGTCTATTCCTCACGATGTAAGCGGTACTTCATCCTAAAAGTTATTTATTTTCGTCGAGCTTTCGGCTCACCGAGCCATTATTAAGACTGAATGAAAAGCGTTTTTCATTCAGTATTGACAATGGCTCGATGAGCCGAAAGCTCGACGAAAATAGATAACTTTTAGGTTGAAGTAGCGCTTACATCGTAAAGAAAAAAGGTATTTTACGACATAATTTGCTTTCATATGTAATTATATGATAAACAGAATATTACATGATCGCTTAGAGATAAAATCCGTATCTCCACGCGCCCATGCAATATCCCTCTATTTATCAATCGCTGCGGAGGGTAATGTTTGCAAGTTAAGTGTTATTGACATTGTCATAAAGTTTTGGAACTTGAGGTTGAGCAATCTTGCAAAAAAAAAAAAAAAAACAATTATGATATATGGAAATGATTTTGTTGTTGTCTTTACGTCTTTACAACTAAACAATATAAATGGGATTGACTAAAATAGTCTCCTTCACGGTTACCTGCGCCATCTTGCCGTGCCTTTACATCGAAGCGAGAAAACCGTTGGGCGTGCAATGATAGATACCTATGAATAATTGTCTGTAGGTGTGGAAGAAGGTTTCTATCGGTGCATGCTCAACGGTCGTCTCGCTTCGATGCAAAGGCACGACTAACTTTCAAAATGGCGCAGGGAATCGTGAGGAAGACTGTTATACTTTTTACTTCAACAGTTTATTAAACCGGAACAAAGACGTAGACGCGCGATGACAACCATACTGGACTGGTCGCGTCCTCATGGGAAGCTAAAGCCTTTTGGGTACACAGCGATTACAGTTTACCTTGCCCTTCTGATCTGTGTAGGCATTGTGGTCCAGTACGCCACGGTCAAAATCCTTTTGTCGCCACATTTTAGAATGAAAAAACTGACGCCGTACCTATTGAACATTGTCTTGGCAAACTCTATAGTCATCTTAGGAAGCTTTCCCACCACGTTTGCTGCTGCTGTCAATAATGGATGGCCTTTTAGTGAATTTGTTTGCAGGCTTAATGGGCTTTTGACAGCAGTAGGATGCATTGCTATGCTTTTGACTATGACATGCATAACCTGGAAGATCTATGTGACTGCGTCTACTACCAATGTTAACAACTTTATTGCTCCGTCTGCATTTCGTCGGTACCATATTCACGTAATTATTGCTATCTGGTTGTTCTCCGCCTGTGTAGTGCTTCCGCCTACCGTTGGCTGGAGTAATATGAGGCTGGAGTCAGCGTCTTTAAACTGTGTACCAGACTGGGCCCCGGAGACTCTAAACGATGTGATCTACATACTTTTGATGACCGTTTTAGGATATTTTCTCCCCGTCATTCTATCTGTTGTGCTTCTCTTCAGAACAAGAACAGTTCTTAGGAATCATACGAAAGTTTTGAAGTGCTTGATCATCCCAAATATTCGCCTCAAAGCCTTGCTTCATGTTTATCGGATGCAATTTCTTTCCGTCATATGTTTCACATTAACATGGCTTCCCTACGTTGTGTATGTCTTTGTGTCGTTAGCGTATGGAAGTATGTACATATTTGGTCCTGCACTTACTACTTTACCAGCACTTGTTGCCAAATCCAGCGTGGTATTGAATCCTGTAATATATGCTATAGTCATTCCAAGGTGAGTGTAAGTGCGCTTTCCATTTGTCAGAACTGGCTGGCCAGACCCAGAGAAAATGTCATTTTATATCATTCCCATTTAGTTAGTAAATTCAAATTTTCAAATTCTATCCATTATTCTACAGAAAACCTCGAAATGACTGAAAAATGTTGCCAAAAAGCATTATATACCTTTAAATAGAGTGGACTGGCCGGCCAGTTCTGCCTAAATGGAAAGCACCCTAAGTCTCATTGATTTAATCTGGGCAATAAGTTTAAGGCCGAATTAGACTTTTTGTCTCTTGCCAAAAACAATCTCATGCTAGAAAAAATATCGCACTTAAAAGGTTGTAAATTTGATGTAAATATTATGTAATGTAAATCATTTACATCAAATTAACATCATTTGGGACACTTAACTTATATTTACATCAAATTTACAACCTTTAAAGTGCGCGATTTTTTCAAATGAACTTGCCTAGGTTATCCTTGCAATATGGCGACAACTGTCGTAGGGCTATTAAACTTTTTTTAAAAGACCGAATTAGACTTTTGCCTGCAATAATCGCATGCAACCTTCGTAAGTTATCCTTATAACATATAGCTAAAACTGTCATGGGGATTTAAAGCAATTGCTTAATAGCCCTACTGCAACATTTAGGCCAATTTAGACGAAAAAACTTTTGCCTACAACCATCGCATGCAACCATCGTAAGTCATCCTTACATCCTTATATTTTTTCTTAGTTAGGAAATTTTTATTTTCCTGGCAAAAATTCTTAGAAAGTATTCCTTGCCTGCCCAGAGTTCTTTTTTTCCTGAATTTCTCGCGCTGGCAACCAGTCGTGACTTACAGCTACAATCCCGGACAAAACAGTTGAGACATTTCTTAAAATAGGCTGAATTTATATGATCTATCTGCGTATTTCTGTGCAAATCTCCCCCTTTCCTTGAAAGGACTGAACAATCATGCACACACTTCCAGCATAACGTCACACACACAACATTGTTTGGTGGGGGGAAGGGAGGATCAAAATCAGTGATTTTTGAGATATATGAGAAATGGGATATTTTACAGACTGAAAAAATGCCAGTGTCTCAACTAGTTTTGTCCGGGATTGCAGCTGGGATATATTTCTCCCCGGGAACCCGTCGACTCCTTCTAATCATGCAGTTCTCATTAGTGTTACAATATCATTTCCAGATTTCGGGAATCTTTTGTACGCTTCTTCTGGTGTCCATCAAGAAGTAATGTACTTCCAGTCACAGCAATCCAAATGAATGCCTTCGTCGTTAACAAAGAAGTCGCCAACAAGAAAACTTATCAGATCCCAGCCGTTAATCAACCATATCTTGACTGATGAGGCCATTTCAAATGGAAGAAAAAGATTTCCTAGAAACAGTTTATAGATAAATCTATGACCAATTATCAGTTTGCACCATTATGCTTTGCGCTCCTCTGTTATTGTTAAGATTTCAGATAAAAAATACTTCTAGTGTCCAAACATCACCATAAAAGGAATGTCCGATGTCTGAAAACTCTAATTTTAGCGTTGAAAGTGCTTAGCAAAGTGAGATAGTCAGGATATGTGCGGATTCGAAACGCACAGTAAGGTTCAGTAAAGACTTTCGGTAAACTAAAAATGGCCGCCGTCAGGTCCTCGCGGCCCGCAAAGCATAATGGTGCACACTGGACCTTTGATGCGCTTGCATTTTTCAGAAGATACATGATTTGTTTTTGGCGAAGTACGCCACCAAGATGGCGGGTGTTTTATGAATATTACGTGAAGATCTACTTGCTATATTTCTATGTAAGAATTTGCAGTTTTGTACAAACCATTACGCGATTTTTTCAGATACGAAAATTTTCCATTTGATTTTGAACCAATCAGAAAGCACCTTTCAACAAGAGATCATTTGGAAAACAAAAGAAACCGATCACAAATGTTCATGGATGCACTATATGATGTTCGGGGGTGGGGTGGGAGGATCAAATAGTTCCCTGACAGACACAAAACGAAAGAAATCAGGCTCGTAAGCCAGCTTCATACAATCATGTCCTATTTATTTCCCTATTTCATTATTACGTCACGTCAAAACATTCTATTGTTTTAACGCTAAGGATTATGGTCGCCAGAGGGGATCAGAATGACTGCATATCAAATAAAATGTAGATGAGCTATCATTGATACATGACATATATCAAAACACGATACATTGAAGTTATACTTTAGGAGACAACATAAATCTGTCCAAATTTCCATTTTTTTGAGCATCTTTTCCGATGTAAACATACTGTTACGTCATAATGAAATAGGGCATGGAGTTTTAAAGCTTTGTTTGAAAAACAGTTTAATCCAGATGTATGATGTGATTACTTAAAATTTCGGAATATTGTATATTTTTTAATGTCTGATTCCGTATGATAAACGCCTTGTAGTGTAGGCTGAATATTCAATGTAAAATATTGTACACAATTGCTTATAAAGTCGTTTTTTTATGTAAGGAAGGTGCCAGAACTTCCGCTGTGAATACATGGACGTAAGCAGCTGCCAGAGTCTTAATTTGTATTTGTATAATGGACAATAGTCAAGTTAACTCTAGATATTTTGGTTCGATCACTATGTACAAAAGAAAGCACACGAGGCTCCGGGAAAACAATCGATAAACTTCATTTATTCTTTTTTTCCCCGGAGCCTCGTCTGCAATTCTTTTGTGCATGGTCACTTAACCAAAATATCTAAAGTCGGCTGTTTGCCCTAACGGGTTTCGTGATCTCACCTCTCCTAAAACAAGCTTTGATATGAAAATTTAACTTTACTACACTTATGTGAATTCTTGAGCGCTGATTGGATGATTAGAGTGTGTCAAAAGAAAATGATTTTAAATGGTTCTTAGACTAAAAATATGGCACAAAAGATATTACACATATTATCTTTTCACTGCATGTCGCTGCGCTCGTGGTTCCACTTGAGTTTTGAAGATTTTATGACGTCAAGAGTGTGTCTATAAGAGGGAATTCAGCTCAAAACCGTGCGTACTGGCAATAGCGCAAAAGTGTTTGGATCAACATATATCTATAGATAGATTTCATTGCAAACAAAAAACAACAACTTCAGGAATAGATCGAATAAAAGTAATAGAGCTCAACTAAAATTTGTTATCTTGATTTCTCTACAGCTAAATCTTATAAGGTGAAACTTTGCATTTTAATACACCTTATCAGTTGCTCTTAGGCCTCGATAGCAAGTTAATTATTCTTTTGAATTTGCTAATTGAGACCATTCATATCAGCATTGTGCATTGCTCACATTCCTACAAATTCAAAAGAATATTTAACATGTTGTCGAGACTTAAGAGCAACTGAAAAGGTGTATTAATTGCCCTATTTCATTATGACGTCACAGTATGTTTACATCGGAAAACGATGCTCAAAAACAGTGGAAATTTGGACCCGTTTAGATTGTCTACTAAAGTAGAACTTCAATGAATGGTGTTTTGATATATATCATGTATACATTTTATGTGATATGCAGTCACTTTGATCCCTTCTGGCGACCATAATCCTTAGCGACAAAACAATAGAATGTTTTGATGTGACGTCATAATGAAATAGGGCAATTCAAAGGTGCTCGATGGGGTTTCACTGGGGATTTTTTTTTTTTTTTTTTTTTTTTGGGGGGGGGGGGACTGATTAGGGCCGTTTTAGGGTTCAAAAACTAAACAAATATAGAAATATAAAAATATAAGAATTAAAAACATAAAAATTCAAATAACATACACTTTTTGAAAAAAAATCCTGTACACCAAAATTTTTAAATTCTGCACTAAAAGCTTTTGTAAATTTGCCCCTAATAAGGCCGCGGTCACGTTATTACAACAAGACACGTGCGGCCTACAACGTCTCATGAATTTCCTCCTTTGTGGGCTCAAAATGAGACCCTAACGAGTGAAGTTACTTAACTTGTGATAAATCGAACCGCGTTAATTTGTCTTGTATGAAATATTTTATACTTGAGCGACGCAACTTTAACAGTCCCTGGCTGTATTTGGCTTCAATGCGCATGTGCGAACGTACATCTGGTATTATTAGGATTTTTCTTAAGTGGTTGCGACAATTCACTCTGAATTGCTTTTGTAAAAGTGAAAGTTAAAGATTTATTGTCAAGTTCATTTGTTAGAACTAAACAAGTCCAGGTGCTTATATTGAATCGCGTCCACAGCACGCAAATTGTTATCCCTACTCAATTTGAAACATTTGTATCGAATTTGAACTTCCATGATATATAAAAGGGACAAAATCATGACATCAATATTGTAAATTTTAAAAAAATGAAGACTTCCTGCTACGTTTGAGCGATGGTTTAATGTTATTCAAAATGACAAATTTATAAAGGAAATAACAGATTTTCTACTGGACGAATTTGGTCAAGGAAAACATTGTCTTAAAGAGCATAGAATACTTCTTCATAACAGTCGATACCACCATTTCATCCCATTTCATTGGCCTAATGAATTACACTAAAGTTGACTGTATGTACAAAGGCAGCAATTTTCAAGATAACGTCAACTTCCAATCACAAAGTTTTCAAATTCTTTCTTTCTTAATATGCGTTCTTGGTGGAGTTACCTCGCCGATAACAGTGGCGGGAAATGGACTCGTTGTGGTCGCTCTTTTACGAAAACAATCTTTACGAACTCCAACAAATATACTAATCTGTAGTCTGGCTTTGAGTGATTGGCTCACTGGCGTGTGTTTCATTCCTAGTTTTATAGTCTATGTTTCAAGCTTGGAGCATTTTAATTCGTGCTATTTCATTGGGATTTTATTTGCCTTTGGTTGGCTTGGCTGCGGCGCTTCGTTTTTAGGGATGGTTGGCGTTAGCTTTGAGCGATATTTGGCGCTTTTTCTTCACTTGAAATACGATTCATTTATGACCGTTCTAAGGGCCACTAGTTTGAATGCTATTTCTTGGTCGATACCAATTTTAGTAGCTTCTTTGTACCTTGCAGGATACTTTGCAATATCCTTAATAATATCTATTACTCTCCTAATTCCTGGCCTTGTGGTTGTCGCCGTTATATATCTCAAAATATTTCTTCTTGTTAAAAAACATAGAAAACAAATTCAAGCTCAAGAGATTAGTGGGAATTCTCCACAAGCTGAAAAGCAGAGAAAACTTGCTGTGACTATTGGAATGATTGTTGGAGTTTCTTTTCTGTGTTATTTACCGATATTCATAGCTAGTCTTGTTGCTTTTATGGTGAATTTTACACCGCTAGCGAAAGAGCTTTTGGGTTTCTGCAGTTTCTTGTTTACATTCAGTTCGTTTTGTAATCCTTTCATTTATTGTCACAGAAATCAAGAAATCCGTAAGGCTGTTTTGTCTTGTTTAAGCGACTTAAAGCGATGGTTTCGTAGTACAATTAGACTTGTTTGTTACATTAATTGAAAAGCGTAACGTAGACGCGACACCAGTCAAGCTAACACCGCAGACCGTCGGAAAGTCAGTTGAATATTTGAATCCATTGAAAACATTTCTCGTTGATCTATTGCTCAGACACATACTCACTGCCGAGACAGTGTTCGGGAATTAAGCTGGAAAAAGTATACGCAAATTGTACTATAAATAGTCAATGTGCAGCGACGCCATTTTGTACAAAAAGCATGATGGGAGTTGTCATAATTCCCCCTTTTATTCCCCCTAGAATTCCCCCTTAAGTGCCATTTTAATTTTTTGTTCTAGAAATGGTAAAAATACTTCTTCTACGTTTGCTTAAGATATAATTAAAGTTCTAAAGATGGCTATTTTAGCGGACATGAAAAAGTGCGAGGACTTCAACCTCCATTATCATGGTCTGTTAAACAAAATGGTGTCTCAATAAAAAGCATTCAAATTCGCACGTTGTCTTGTGCTTGATTTATTTTAATTTTGTTTTCTTAATGTTTTTCCAATCGAATTATTCACTTACTACATAATTAAGGCACGGGAAATCATCCTCGCTTTAACTAATTCTAGGGGACTTTCTTGTCTGGCTCGTCACACAGGAAACTAAAAGTGCCATTCATCATTTCTTGAAAAAAAAACAGCTTGTAAACTTAAAAGTTTTATCGTTTCTTAATGCCTTCCCGTTTTAATTTCGTTCTTTCTTTATCTCTATTTCTTTCTGTTCCTTCTCGTTATTCTTCGTTTTTGTGGTTAGTAACCACTTTGTTATCGGTTTGTAAGTCCGTCCGTAACACTATCACGTGATTTGAAGGTCTAAATACAACCCAAACAACTGCTACATCCCCTGAAATTGCAAACTATCCCCCCTGTAATTCACCATGCCTGCCATCAATATCAATTGTAATGAAAAACCACAGTATATATACAAGGATTCTTGAACTTGTTCTTTGATGTGGGTTTTCGAATCTGAACAGTATCCAATCTTATGATCTCGTGTGAATGAATATGCGCAGTTAGCATCGTTATCACACATGTCTCCACCATGACGTAGCATTTGCATGGCAACTAGACAACGACGCTGACAAAGAAAAACGCTGGCTCAGGAGACAAGAAGTAAACTTTGTTTTTTATATTCTTTATCTCTTTATCTATCACAGATTTCATCCTACAGTATTAACTGTAATGATCAAAGTTTTTTAAGTGTTTTTCACAATTTAGTCCAATCTTTATGTCCGAATAACAGGATAATTCCACGCTCGATAGCGATTGTAATGAGACGAATGTCAATTTGACAATCATAAAGCAAACCAAACGACGCCTAAAAAGATGACTTATAACTGCCAAAACAAATACAAACTGGATAAACCCGCTTGTGGGTTAAATCAACCTCTTGAGGATATATCAACCAAAACAGGGAGTCTAATTACAAGAACTATTTACATTAAGTTTAATATTCATAACCCGGGGGGGGGACTCCCTAATATCAAAGGGCGGGGGTCCTCGGCGGAGATTGTGAAAATGACCCCTAAAAGGGACCTCTATTGTGAGATGATGGGCGTGGCAGTGCTGAAATTTCAACCCTAAAAGGGACCAATCAATAACAGGTCATTTTGTTTTGGTTTACCGATTTTATTTGTGTTTTTACACAATCATCGAACACCGTCGGCTCGTATTGAGTTTATGACGACGTTGCCATTTTATGACTGCTTAGGGTCGCCGTATACCCTAAAAGGGACCACAAAACACAGTTGGTAGGAATTCTTGTCATGATCACCCTAAGCGGGACCAAAATACTGATTTCAAACCCTAAAAGGGACGCCGAGGACCCCCGCCCTTTGATATTAGGGAGTCCCCCCCC